CAAATTCCAATTTCAATTAGCATGTACAGGTATTTCGCTGTATCAGCAAAATGCACTCATGTAAAAATACATGAAAATGCTGAAATAAACAATAAATTAAATTGAAGCGTGAGCAACGTATGCACAGGTAGTCAGAAAAAGAAAGAAATACTGAAAATTTAAGATGAGAATATTGGGAATAAATTCCCTTTCTTGTAATAGAAATTGCTTAGAACGTTAGGAATATTCATTTAATTAAGTATATTGTATATTGAGCACCTATTTTATACATATGTATATGTATATGCTTTGAGCTTCGAGTATCTTTAGACATTGCAATATTATATAGACTTCCCTCATATTAGCATCTGCTTAGTCTAACTCAGTTACTGAAGAGAAGAGCTTTTATTTGTTTATTTCCTAAATAATGTTTATCTTAAATAAATTTACTGTGCAATCTTTACATTAAACTGGACACCTTCTATCCTCTAAAGAGAGTGGAATTATTATATTTAATCACAAATACATTAAACAAACATTTTTATATTATGTACAAAATCGCTTTTAACTAAATCGGAACTCTAATTGCAAATGAATCAAAACCAAGTTCAATGCTCAGTTCAATATCACAATTGACGTAGTTTACTACGGATAATGTTTGTTCTGAATGATTTAAGAGCGTAAATATGAATGGGACCAAGTATGTAGAAAATCGTACAATAATACGAATTTATATATACACATGTATATATTAGAGTCGTACAAAGAACAGTGTAGAATAATACGATATGAAATATGGTTTTTGGCCTGTGTCTGTGTCTGTGTATGTGTATGGGTTAATATGGGACTTTCTTTTTGTGAGCATCGCCGTCATCGCCTTTGAATCCACAACAATGAGTGGGCGCTGACGCCCTCGACTGCCTCGACTACCCACCGAGATATCGGCTGAAAGCTATAGCCGAGCTTGCTGAGCTTTTCGCTACATACACGCATACGCACACACACTTGTACACTCAGACACACACACGTACGCATATTCGGTCGTCGAGGTATGGATAGAGATATATAGAGATCGGCTACCTACGCCGTAAAGGAATATCGTGCTTTTTTGTGAAACAAATGGCAAATGGTGAAACGAGTAAAATTGGTGAGGCGAATTTCGAATGGTTTGCAGTTTGAAAAAATTCTTCGTTGAGGATAGATCGCTATTTTTTAGGAGTAAAGCAAATTGTAAGCCATATAAAATAATCAACTCTAATAGAATATGAGCAAACAAATGCATACTTATGAATGCATATCAATTGAACTCAATAATGAAACAATTACATTACTACTGAACAATTATTGTGTCGAGCAATCAACAAAGTGTATAAGAAATATATTATCTGCGAATTGAAAACGTGATCTGTCCGCCCTCATTAAAGTGGTTCCATTTCAACATGGAATTATGACAAAAATATGATTTCCAATGGCTGATTATATAAGAGCTAAAGACATTTGATACCAAGTGAACATTAATGAACTTGATTGCAAATAAGCAAAGCAATTGTGAAGTGTCAAATCTGATGCAAATCTAAATACTAAACAACATTTTCGTTGAATTTAAACTTTAATTTATAATCACAAAAATTATAAAATGAAGGCTCATATTTTGAATCTGGCTTAACCACCGAAAACGATTTTTTGAAGAAATAATCTAATTCGATCTAATTGAATTGAGAATTTTGCGTCGTCTGCTTTCTCAGGAAAAATTCAACTCAAGGACATTTATAAATAACGCAAATTTAGCTGCTGCTCGCGTCGATCTTTATCACACTCGCACTCTCACATACACTCACACACACACACACACACACACACACACACACACACACACGAATATATAGCCATGTATATAGAATTTTGCTAGTCAAGTATTTATGTATTTGTAGAGAATGTGAGAAATAAATGTATATAGATTTTATGATATGTATATACATACATGCGCATATATATGTATAATGCTGACGATATTATTTGAGAAATACATGTATTTTTAGTGATTGATCTTGTTGTGAAATATACATATATATATATTGTATAAATATATATACAAGTAGGCAACTATTTTATAAAATTTTGTTGAATACTTTGCTCTGCCGTTAAGTGGCACACTGTCTGTTTATTTTCGAACTGAGCAAAAGCGCCGAGTCAGCCAAGATTTGTATATCAGCCACCTCTAGGAGGAAAACAACTCTCTCGTGCGTGTTGACATTTGAACGATCGACTACAGAGCCAAAACGTGCGATACAAAATTCAGATTCGTAAAATTAGGCGTTGACAGAAAAGAAACAAAACCAAAACCAAAACCAAATAAAAAAAAAACTATTTCAAATTGGTGCAAAGTGCAAGCAACAACAAAAAATACAATAATAATACATAATATATAAATAATACAATAATAAAGCTGATAAACTTTTTGGTATTGCAGCGAACGAGTTCAACGAATATTTCTTGTGCTTGACAGACACAAAACAAATCGATCAAAATGTTCAAAAACCATTTGGAAATGATTGGGCGCAATGAGAGCCCCAGCAAGAAGGCCAAATTCTGGCAATCCTACATCAGATCCCTGAAGGGTAAGTACGCTTATAAGTTTACTGAAATATATATGTTAAGAACTATCAGTAGTCTCTCTGGCAGCTAGCATCTTTGTATTGTATTTTGAGAAATGGCATCCTATGCAAGGTATTATAGAACTGGTAGCTACATAAATAGCTCAGCAGCATATAGAATTTTGGTCTATTTTTTGGCAGGTGTCACTTTTAAAAGCTACACTCACAATCATATAAATGTGAAGAGCTTTTTTCGAAATTATATTTAAAATATATGTATATATCTGTATATCTCTTATATATGCATATTGAAAATATTTTAACTATGTGCTCATGGGCCAAACAAAGCGAAAAAATGCGGCTGTTGCGCCAAGGCAAAATAACTAGGCGATCATATAAAGAATACAAAAGAATGAAATGAAAAACGAAAAAATAAATAAATTCAATATACGAAACACATAAATGAAATCAATTTTTTGGCAATGAGCCAATAAACTGAAATAGCGCAAAAAAAAAAAAACCTAGTGAAGTAAGGCAAATAATTGAGTGTATATAGAGACGTGCATTAATATTTGATTCGCTTCCATAGGCTCCGAGGATATTCGCGCCCATGAGGCGCCAAGAGCTTCTCGCCCATACAGCTCGTACCTGGATTCGCCCACATACAGGAGCATCTACGATGAGCCCGCAACGGCCAACGAGCGCGTTCAGTCATCTGGCTACAGATACTTGCCAGTGAGCCGCGACACCTACGGCTACTCGCCACGTGCCATCTACGATCATCATTACAGCAGAACAAGTAAGTTGGCCCGTTGAATGAGCCGTTACTCTAAGTACTACTACTTTTCCTACAGCAACAGCGACAGTAACCCGCACAACTCTTTTACCTATGAGCTTTGATTGATTACTTTACTTTATTCATTCTATGGCTCAATCATGCCATCAATCAGTGCATATGCAATCATCTAACTTGAAGACTGAATTGCAAACTGCTAGTTGATTCAAGGTTCGGTCTCTTCATCAATTCATCAATTAATCAATCATAATGAAGTCCTGCTGTCAATCAGTCAATTAACGCAAATCAATCTATTTATTGATTTTGCATTCTTCTTCAATACATCAATCAGCGCGGATGCAGACTTGACTTTGTCAGGGTTTTTGATTTGATGACTCAGTCGAACGGTCAACATATTTCAATCATTGCATATGTCAATCAATAATCCATTTGCATTCGCCCTGTAGCACACCTTGAATTGCTGACGGTCTGCTAAAATTACGCTACATTTTTCTCTATGATTTCATAATTATATAAATAATAAAAGAGATGAAAATGAAAGAACCGTCTCACAGCCAAAATAGAATTACGTCAATGATTTTTAGTATTTAATTCTATTTTTTTTTTTTCATTTTTGGCAAAGGCCCACAAAAGTTGTAGGCAAAATATACACATGTTCATAAGCTTTCCTCTGGTAAACACACACACATGCAGAGATACTCCGATGGATATTTATATATACACACTATATAGCGGTATACATAAGGCTTGGGAGAACATTTTCTATTTGCTCATGCGTGCTCCGGATCAAATAACTGAGGCACACAATTTTAGATACACATTCTGTTTCTTTAACAATTTCGCGATTGTTGATAATTTGTCCATTCCCCTGCTCTATTTATTTAATACTCTACACACATCCCTGGTGCCCCCACAGTCAAATGTACTTTTTGTTTTTTTGAAACTAACCAATTTTTTCTTTCTTTCTTTTTTTCTCACAAAATGTTTCAGAAAAAACATAAATGTTTATCGACACAGAAAAAATAAGAAAACGATTTTAAGAGAATATATTTACAAAAAATATATATAACATACATATACATATATGTGTATGTTTCAACGCAGCGCACTACGAATCTTTTCTCTCTAGACAAAATCAACATTTTAGTTATACATAGATATACAATATGTTTAGTAAATATTAAAAGAGAAATCTGTAGCTGTAGCTGTGTTTAGTACAATACTCAGAATGATTTATAGACCGGTTTCTTATGTAGTTCCTCTTTTGGCTGAAATTTAATAAAAGATACTTAACTTTTTTTTTTGTTAAACAAAAAAACGTTCTATTTTTAATAAAGCATTTAATATTTATGAGACCCACAAGGTATTTTGTATCGTATTCCGAATTTAAGCTTCATTTGATTTCATATTCATGACTTTTTCATTCCCAAGGCTTATTTAGTTCAAACGCAACTTTTTTAATACTATATTTTCGTTTTTTGTTTCTTTTTTGCTGACTATTATTTGTTAAAACCCGCTTTTATTGGATAAATATCGTACGTATATCCAATTGCTTTTATTGACAAATGGGAATTAAACGCATCTGCAAATGCAAAACGCTTCGAGCCCCAATATAACAGATTTTAATAAACTCTTATTCTGCATTAAAATGTAAGCATATTGCAATTATTGTTTGAGTTACGTTCAATTTGCCTGCTTTTGCTTTTCAATAGCTGTATTTCAATTTCCATATTCGTACATCTAAATATTGATTTAAATACTTTCTTTCCACAGTTCCAGCTAATTACGATGCAGAGAAGGCATGGAATGATCATTTGAAGCGCATGCAAGAAATTGAGCGCAGGTGTGTACACATACATTATATAACACTTTGAATGTAAACTGAATCTCAATTGAAGTACTTGCACTTATCTAGTCTGTGTTAACCAATGAATCTATATGAAGTCACCGGCTTCAGTAGACAATAAAATCATATATCTTCTCATATATAGATAGGTAGCATTTGATTAGAGTTCGCAGTAGGATGATTGCTGCATATTATTCATAATTATACCATGGACCTAATCAAAAATATCATTTTTTTCAGATACCCATCTCGCTATGGTCTCTACTTGAGAGACAAGCCACTCACACCAAACTCTTTGGTGCCTTTGGAATACGAGCCAGAGGATAAGCTGTTGGCTGAACTTAACAAGGGTAAGGATATCAAAGACATTTTCTAAATACGTCAAAAAAACACTCAAGAACATCAACAAATTGAGTAACCAACACAGCAACAACAACATCAACATTTATAAGAAAATCTACGAAATTTAAAGTCGAATTCAAATACTTAAAAAAATGATTTGTAAAACTGTCAGAAAATTACAAAATGTAAGCACGAAAAAAATAGCGAAAAAGCAACATCTATTCGAAGCAAAACAAAAACAACAACAGAATTTTTTCAAATTCACTCAAACAAATTTACAGACATTAAAAAAACAAAAACATCAACAACATGAAAACACCAATTCGAAACTTGACGGGCAAATTTTTTAGCACAAGAAATTAGCCTTGTTCAAGTTTCCATTTGACGATTTCTAAATTCGAATATTTGCCCGATCGAACTATGTGTCTTTAACTCTGTATCGTATATACTATATCTTGCAGCAATTCAAGTTTGAAGCGCTGAGCGTTTACATTCGAGAAAAGCTAACTGGTTAAAGGCTTTTGTTTTGGCATAGCTTTAGTAAATTGTAAAATTATGCAGAAATTGTTAATGATATGATAATATGTCTGTAAAAAGAATCCACCCCAATATAGTAAATGAAAAACAAAACAAAACAAAATAATTTCGTTAAATGTTTCATTGTATGATATGATGCTTTACTTAATTTTTATTTTTAACTTATTTATACAACATGAGAAAAACAACAACGAAAATAATAAAACCAAACCAAACATATATAAAATAAAAACAAATGCTAATTTTAATTTAGATATAATCGACAGATATCATCGATTAAAATTTATATACATACATATATCTCTATATATATTAAACATTTTAACTTCCCGTTGCATTCAGATCACGCCAGCTCTATCGATCCCATCATTAAAACCAAAAATCCATGTCCAACTACTTTTTTTCTAACAGCTGTACCATAGATAAATCTGAGCTCAATATATATATATACATATATATATATATATATATATATATATATATATATAT